GATGATACTCCACAACAAATCGATCTATTTTTTTCCTATGGTTTATCTTTTCGTCATTTTTCTCATTTAAAATTTTTATCAATCTATCGATTTTGTTCATTAAATTTACTCGAAAGACTTATGAATGAAATACTTTACCTACCTCATCTTACCTATTTAAAAATTATCAGATATATTATTAAATATACTGAAATATATGATATCGGTATAATCGGCCTTATCGAACGATTATCAAAACTTACTTATTGTTGTTTCGATATCACAAATGATAATGATGGTTTTTATCAAACATCATCTATTGTTTCAACATCTTTAAATTCTCTATCTCTTCCATATTTAGAATGTAATCTAAATCAATTAATATCGTTAATTAAAAATATATTTAATCTCTATTCATTACAAATACGTATTAGTGATTATGTAATTAATTCATCAATACCATCGATTAAATTTTTGTCAATTAAAAAACTGAATATAAATTTTTTGGGTTCGTTAAATATAATGAAGAATTTGTTGCAAACAATGCCGAATTTAGAAGAATTAAGAATTGAACTTCAATCGAATTATATCAATGGATATGAATGGGAATCTATCATTGAAAGTAATTTATTATATTTAATGAAATTTCAATTTAAAATGTCAATATCAATTTCGAATCAAAATAATACAGAAGAAGAGTTTGACGAAATATTAAATTCATTTCGTAGTGAGTTTTGGATTATAAAACATCAATGGTTTGTTCAATGTAATTGGAATCCAATTAAATCATCATCATCATCAACTGTTCATGTATATACATTACCTTATGCTTTTAAGAATTTTTTCTTTATGGGAAATAGTCGATTAAAATCAACATATCCTGATAATAATTATCAATGGTCATTTGATTGTATACATAATTTATATTATAATTATCTTTCATCACAAAATCTACCTTTATTTCGTATGGATTTACGTAATATTCGTCATTTAGATATAACTATTCCCTTTGATAATTCATTTTGGTTAATTGTATCAACACTTAATCGATTACATTCTTTAAATATTGTTTCGTATAATGATATGAATTCTGTTGATATACAATCGAATTTAGAGATATTATTTGAACATTCACCAAATCTTCATTCATTGAAATATTTCTCTTGGTTTGTTCAAATTGAATTTGTAGAAAAAATCAAACATTTATCTATTCGTCGACTTGGTTTACAAGGACCACATATGATTTATAATCATGAGCAATGTTTAGAATTATGCCATTCATTCATGGGACAACAATGTGAAGTTCTTTCTATTAATGTTCAACAACGAACAGATATAATTAATCTTATCAATAATATGAAAAATCTTCGTGCTTTAATTGTAAAATGTTCTAAAATGACATTAACTGAAGAAGAAAATCAAGATTTAATTCAATGGTTACAACAAAATTTACCAACAACATGTTCTATTTCTAATTCAACAGATTGTAATAATAATATTCGAATATGGATTCGTTAATCAATTAATCGTAATAAGCAATATATTAATTGTTTATGTCTTATACGTTCAGATTTTAGTTGTACGTGATGTAATTATTATAATATGAAATTGTTATCTGTTGTTGTTGTTTTAAAGAATATTAAAAGTCTCTAGATGTTTACAATTATTTAATTAATCGATTCGTTATGATAAGAGTTGTATCTGAAAATATACGAGACATGAGAAATATAAAGTAAAACAAGATTTTTGAAAGTATATTAAAAATAAAAAATCTGAATTTTAGATAGTTCATTGATATCTTCGTATCTGAATGTTATAGAGAAAAAATATTGAATAAGAAGATTATGTTAGTATATTTTAAGATTACACTAAAATAAGTCTACTCCACCGAAACGTTTCATATCATAGATATAAGCCTATATTTCAGTCTCTTTTAAGAGATAAAGAAAATTTTGATGAAATATACAGCAAGTCAATTCCTGATATAAGTATTCATCATGGAAGATCTTATTCATTTTAAAAAGTATACTCCATCACTGATACGTCAAAAAAACTCTAACACAACTTCTAACTAGATGGTACTCAAGTTTTACTTCACTACAAAATGCGATGCGAAGCTCAATACAAATTAAACTAATAAACGCAGTTATCTGCTCATCTAAAAAGATTTTAAAAATTTATTAATTAAACAGGTTATTTTCAATAAGAAAAATGAAACGATGAAGGTACGTGAGGACGAACGAAAGTAAATGCAAGCGAAGGATAAGACGATCAAGTTTTATTGTTATTCATAATCACACCTAGATCCTCACATATACCGTGGAAAATAGTTAATCATCATTATCAACAAAAGTCCATAATCAAAATTATGTTTTCACAGCACTTTCTTTGAACGAGTATTCTGGGATGTTCTGTTGCTAAGATCATCACGACACAAAACTAATGTATACGTCGACAAAATAAGAAAGCCTCGCGAAGGACTATAGAAATGCTTTGCGTCGCATTGTATTAAAAAAGTTTATGAATAGACGAATCTTTTATTATGATGATAATTTTGAATATTATATTTGAATGCAATTTTCAGTAGAGAACATTGAATCAAGATCTTGAGGTAGAGTAGTAAGAATGTACTTATATAGATATTATTATACAGGTTTCAATTAGTAGGTTTCTGAAATTCATTTTTTTCTATTAGGAAAATAATCATGAAAACACCGTATATGAATTCCAATGGAAAAAAAAGATAGATATTTTTTCGAACATATGCGACTATCTGCAAATATTTAGTAATTTAATAGTAAATCAAACTAACCAGTGCAAAAAGTATATGATTTTCAAAATTTATCAATTCTTCGTTTACACGTCATAATGAAGTCTGAATTTATTACTAAATTAAAAATATTAAATACTTCAGATAAAATTATTTTACTTAAATATATTTTTTCATTGCTATTATACAACATACTGAATAATTTCATCATTCATACAAATAATTCACGTACTTTTACTCATTCAGTGAGTACATTGATCTACCATAATCATGTTAATTGAATTCCCAATACATCCATAAAAAATGCGCGTCTAGTCTATCTTCAAACATATGTGTATACAGACACTAAATAAATTATATAGATTAAAAATGTCTGTTGATATATTATGATTGTTAGTTGAATTGATTTCTTTTTTTTATTATTAAATAAGAAAAAATAAACTATGATGAACATTTCATTGATCGATGCATTTTTCTCATTAAGTCTCTTGATGCTTTTCGAAAAACAGTTCCACCAGTTAATGTATACAAATAAAATGGCATACCACTAGCAATAAAAGCAAGAAGTACTTCAATATTATATAAAAAAAGAACAATCGCATCTTCAGTTTTACTAATTGTATTAAACGGTCGAAAAGTAATATAAAATTTTTGTATGGCTTGTGGAATACAAAATATAGTTAGAAGAAAAGCTTGTACTAAAAGCATTCGAAGTAATTGATGATCAGTTT